GGGTGGGAGTTGGGAGAAGGAACGTGGCCTCCACTGGCCTCCCCTCACCTCCCCTCTCTCCTGAGGAACATCTGCAGGCCCTATTGGTGGGTGGGAGAAAGACCCTTTGGTACCCAATTAACACAGCATGACCACTAAGCCCTCTCCCAGTTGCCATCTACCCCTTCTGAGAGAAAGAACCAGGCTCCTATAAGGGCAGCTAGAAGGGCAAGAAGCCACCAAGGACCTGCTCCCATCAGGACAACATCCTGAGTCCCCATGCCCTACTCCCATCCATACTCACCGTCAGAGTCTAGCACTGGACAGAGGTCTGATGGCTCTATGCTCAATGGTTCTATCTGGCCAGCAGATGGTTGGGCAGGAGGTGCCAGGACTGCTCCACTGTCCTCACGTCAGGCCTTCTGTCTTCTGACCTGGGGTCCAATTCCACAGCCCAGCATCTCAGCCAAGAACCTCCTAGAGAACAGACACCACCAAACACTGACCTACTGTCGCCCACCCTTCTCCAGTGGTCACAGGAGATAACCACGTACCACCCCACTGTGTGTGTTGATGCCTCTCGGCTTTTCCTAGCAAGACCCTCCAAGGCAGAGGTGCATCACATCGGAGTCCCGCCCACCAAGAGCTTGCTGAAATTCAGATCCCCAGGCTGGGCCCAGGATTTTCATTGATAGGTCCTCTGAATACAACAAGGTCCTCAGGGCATGCTGAGGGGTGCAGAGAACCCGAGGATAAAAGCCACAGAGCTGACTCCCCACCCTCATCTATCCCCAGGCCCTATTTTATTTGAATCCTATCACCCACACCTGAAGCCTTCTAAGAGTTTGGGCAGAATATTAACCCCCTGGCCATCCTTGCCCTCCTTGGCCATTCTGTGTACCCCATGTCCTCCACATCCCTGGCTCTCATTCTCACTGGTCCCCTATGTCAAAGGGCTGCCCAAGGTCCTGCCTCAAGCCCACCATTCAGGGCTGACACTGCTTTCAGCACCACTTCAGACCACCCTTCCTGCGAGCTGCATCCAGCCCCTCGCAGGAAGCTGGATGCACGGGGTAGGGAAAGTTAGCAGGAAGGCACAGGGTAACACCCTCAGGTCTTTCTGAGTCTTATGATAATTTTTATCTATAAAACAATGAGGTTGAAATGGAGTTGTTTTGGCCAGAAATTTCCATGAATTTTTGGTTATCTAACCATCTTTCCTCTTCCTGTTGTCCTTATTTTGCTATTATTTGTACATTCATCCAGGCATGAAATTTCAGAGTAAGACATACCAGTAAAGTTTAAGTATTTGAAGCCATGAGAGGAAAAAAAATTAAACTTCTGTATTGGTATGGGAAAAGCAGTAATAATTGTAGGGTAAAATGGAAATAAGTTCACACTTTATTTGATTAGCATTTTTTACAGATTTATAGTCATTAGTTTGACATAAAATTTATTGACCCTGATGAAATCCCCCCACCCCCACATTATTTTGTCCGGTCAATTTAGCAATGCAGAGGCCTGGGGAAAACAGTAATAATTTGTGAATAAACAAATGTATTTTTCTTCAAGTCTTTGGAGGATGAAACAAAAAGTTTTTGGAATTGTTTCAGTATTGGGGTTTTTTCCACTTTGGCTTTTTCCACTTCTACCTTGAGGTCGTCCTCTTCACTCTTGTCTTATTAGTCACTTTGTCTTGTCAATTGTTCCTTCAAAATCATTCTCTAGCTGGTCCACTTCTGACCCTCACCAATGTGGGGCAGCAGTCCACCCCGCACATTGTGTGATTTTCCTTTTGTTTGGGAATAAAAGGATTCTTAAACAGGCTCCCGAGGAACACTGGTGTCCCTGGGTGTACTGGGGCATTACAGTGCCAAATAATGGTGGCCTTTCCTCGGTCTGCAGGGGGAAATGGTCTTAGTGGACAGAAGGTTTTCAACTAAAAGTTTGTTTTCCCCTTGGTTCAAGATCACCACCACCACAACGGAATAACCTTGTGCTTGCTATCACTTGTACTAAAAAAAACCCCAAAATTTTGCAGAAAGCAAAATTTTAAAAATCAAGTAGGATTCTGATTTCAACGGAAAAGCTCAGGGGTGGCCTGTAGTGCGATATGTAATGCTGGTTTGGGGAGCAAGCTCTTCTTTGGGGGATTCAGCTCCCCAGTGAGCCTGGTGTGTGTGTGTGTGTGTGTGTGTGTGTGTGTGGTGGTGGTGGTGGCGGGGGGGGGGGGGGGGGGGGGGGGGGGGCCAGGGGAGTCTTGGAAATGCACAGTGGAACCGATGTCAGGCCCATCAGAATACTTTCTGGCCCCCGGGACTTGTTCAGGGATGGGGATGGGACTCGGACTTTTGGGCTGCCCCTGGAGAGGGAGATTGGGTCTTCCTTTTGGGGTGTTAGGCTGCTGGTGGCATACAGGAAGCTTATTGCAGGGGAGAACGTGGATGGTGAGGGTTCTGATGAGATCTGAGTGCCTGGGCCCAGCTGAACTTGAAGCTGGTACTACCCTGGACTCCTCTTACAGGAACCAAGCCATTCCCTTTCCGTCATGGATCAGAAATGGGGCATAGGGTCATTTTCTTTGGGCATGACTCTTCCCTAGATTGTACGGTAGAAATGAATACAGTGGGGCCTTGACTTACGAGTTTAATTCGTTCCGTGATGGAGCTCGTAATTCAAATTACTCGTATGTCAAATCAAAAAGTGAACGAGTGAGACACGTGATGCTGGGCTGATGTTGTGGCGTTCACTGTGACGTTCACTGCGCCAACTAGCGGTGGGGTATCTGAAGCTGGCTCGTAACCCGAATTTTAGCTCGCAACTCAAAGCAAAAAATCGGCCGAGAGACGGCTTGCATCTCGAAAAACTCGTTAGTCGGGACACTCGTAAGTCAAGGCCCCACTGTACATTGGTATTTCTCCAAGCTCCTCAGAGAGCCCTGTGATTTTCAGCTGCTTCACCTGAGGCCCTCTGCTCCAAATTTCACTTTCCACATGCCTACCCCACCTGGATGCCTTGATTCAGGGGCTCCCTATGTCGAGCATGCCCAGTATCCCCTGTGGGCTCCAGGGTGGAGACAGGCTCCCTTTCTGGTTCCCAGGAGCCCTTTCCCATTTACTGTCTCCCCTTACCTCCCTGGCAATTTTTTGGGGGTAATTCCCAACCCCTGGCGGTTTCTGAGAAGCACAAGCACAGACACTCCAAGGTTCAAACCTGGCCCTGTAGGTGGGAGGCTGGAGGCTCTGAGGAAAGGGGTTGTGGGGTGCATTATATAGCTGCCAACTTCCTCCCACAATTCTCTTAGCTCCTCTCAGGCAGTTTTGCATGTGGTTGTATGTGACTAATTGATCACATAGAATCTCCCAACCCAAGACCACCACCCTCCCACCTAGGGGAGGCTGCACCCTTCACTGTGGGCCAGCTTCCAAGCCTTCCCAGTGGGGCACTTGCCTGGTCCGGAGGCCCCTGCGTGCAGGGTGGGACAGGAAGCAGGGTCTCTGTGGACATGCAGCCTCAAGGCGATGCCCCACCCTGGTTGGCTTTTTTCTGGGAAAGGCAGAGGCCCCTCCTCCCCACCCAGTGGGGGGTGTGGTGTGGTCGGTGCCCCTGTTGGCAGCCCCTCCAGGCCACCTGTGGTGGGAAGCGCCTGTCCTAGCCACAGGCAGGGAAACCGCTGGGCAGATGGGGTTGGGGCCTGCAAGGGGAAAGTTGGGCATTTGGGTTTCGTTCCTCTAGAGCAGTGATTTTTCAACCTTTTTCATCACATAAACTAATTTCTAAAATTCTACAGCACACCAAAAAATATATTTTTTTGCTAATCTGACCCCAAAAAAGGTATAATTTCGATCCATTCACACTGGAAGGCTGTTGTTGTGCTGGCTGTTGTCATTTTTTTTTAAATTTGATTTTGAGAAAGAGAAACATCAATTTTTTGTTACACTTATTCATGCATTCATTAGTTAATTTTTAAAAAATATATTTTTATTGATTTCAGAGAGAAAGGAAGAGGAGAGAGAGATGAGAATCGTTGATCGGTTGCTTCCTGCACATCCCACACTGGGGATCAGTCCCACAACCCAGGCATGTGCCCAGGAATCGAAGTGTGACCTCCTGGTTCATAGGTTATCTCAACCACTGAGCCACACTGGCTGTGCTATTGCTTGATTCTTGTATGTGCCCTGACCAGGGATCACAGCCACAACCTTGGCTTATCAGGATGCTCTACGCAACTGAGCTATGCAGCCAGGGCTTGTCATTCTTTTATTTGACAATCTAAGGGAAAAGAGGTCAGTGCCAAAAAGAAAATGAAGAAGAAAATAAATAAGAAAATGAAGAAGAAAATAAATAAATAAATAAAAATAAAAAAAAGAGGTCAGTGCCCCTGACTAAATGGTCAGGGATTGCATGTTTTAAAAGTTCTTGCGCACACTGGTAAGTCGCTGCTCTGGAGTTCTGGGGCTTTGCGTCCTCTGCCTTAGAACGTGGTTCCAAGACCCATGCCACTAGGAGCCCAGGGAGGGTGTCTGCAATCCAAGGCGGGCAAGGACAGTGGCTCTGCCACCTGGGACAGGTACTGCACCCTTCGTGCCTTGGCTGTCCCCCACTTGTAAGGCGGAGTGGCTGCCTCGCAGAGCTCTGGGATTAAACGAGGGGATTGGTCTCTGAAGCAATGGTTCCTGCTGCAGCCTAGAACCCACAGAACCCACAGCCCTGCTGAGCAGTTGGAGATGAGGGTGGGGGCACCTGGGGATGCGACGACTCATAGGGACCTGTAAGCATGGGATGGCTTTTCTCTGAGACCCTGGGAGTGCCCACACCCAAGCCAGGGTGGTTTCTCCACATAGAATTTTATTCTGAAGGCCACTCTGAGGTCTGAGGAAGGGAGGGGGAGCCCCAGCAAAGAGGCTCTCTGCAGAAGGAGAGGGGCAAGTACCCGTCCCAGGTTGTGGGCCATTTCCTCAGCCCCACCCCAGGACACCTCGGGACTGGGTCTACAGGGACAGCAACGAAGGGAGGCCTTGCTTGTTCAGTGATAGTTTATTGGTCCTTAGCATCACATCTGTTACCAAGGTCAATTCAAATACACAACTGCAGGTAAAAACATGTAAAATAATATAAAAATAAATTGAAGCCTACTTTAATATATTTATTGAATTAAGTAGTGTAATAAATACTATAATAAGCAAAAAGCTTCAATCACACAATTCAGTTTCACTGAAGTTACAGTAGTGTTTGTAAATGAGTTTTAAAATTTAAGTTACAAATATTAAAGCACTGAAAAACTAGTATAAAAGTGAATTTTGGCACGTAAGTGAGCTCTTCTTCTGTCATTAGTATTTGACAACCGAAGACAATGAGGAAGCCATTTCTCACCTACTTTTGAGGTACAACTATCCAACTAGGTCAGCAACATGCTGGAATGAATACTTAATAGTTTACAATCTTTGAGTTAACTTTTCCCTTTCGAGAAGCCTGAAGAGCAACTCAGAGCTTATTACTGTGCAAAAATTCTCCAGAATCCTAATTGAATTTAGGAGGGAACTTTTTCTTGTGACCTGCAGGGCCTTGTGTGCAGGCTGAGGTCAGAGAGCCCCAGGGCTTAGGGGAGCCAACTTAACTCCTTGCCAGCCGCCCCTTCCTAGGGTAATCCCTTTTCTCCAATTTCTGCCTCCTCCCTCCAAATAAAATAAAATAAAAAATCCCACATCAAAACGTAAAATGACCCATAACTTCAGCGATTTCAACAGTATCACACTCACTCTGGGTGATATAAAACTGAAGCTGCTAACAGGAAAGTTGGCAAAAAGCATGTCAGCCCCTGGAGGACTTCTGCCTGTCCCTAGGAACCCTCACCCGATGTCTTTGCTGGGTCCTTAGTATCCACTTCTAAGGTCAAAATCTAAAACACAGTGTCATGGCCCTTCCTCGAGAGGCAGCCAAGCCCCCACCCTCCACCTGGAGGAATCAAGTGGATATTAAACTTCACGGTCAGAACCCAGAGGCCCGCAGGTTCTGGAAGAGGCAGTGCGGAGGATGCACCCCCGGCCTCAGTCCTCAAAGAGCTCACACTGCGCACTGCTAGTGTGTCTCTTCATCAGGCACAGAGTGTGCCCCAAGGAGTGAAATGCCCTTTCACCTATGTGCCCCTTCACACTCCTGAGCAGGCTGAGGAGTGTCTAAGGAGGCCTTAGCCAGTTTTGCCACTTGGCTTTTAAACTTAACGTTTTGACTTTTTCAATCACAGTTTCATATTCTGGTTGAGGTAATCACAGTTTTCCCTCTAAGAGGGGCAAGTTGGTGAGAGAGCATTTCTCCGGACAATGGTCAGAACCAAGACCACCACGTAAGTACAGCCCACGCAGTGGGAAGACCCGCTGCTACGGGCGGGTTCCGACCCCTCTTTAAAAACTCTTTTGTGCAGCAGCCAGGAAATGGCTCGAGTTCCAAGATCTGGAGCTTTCATTTAAAACTTCACAGCAACCCACCTGGAGGAAATGGTCCCACCCACCCCACCCACCCCTTTTCTAAGGCTGCTCAAGTTTGAGTTTTTAAAAAGAGCTCGGTAGAGCTAAAGGAAGCTACAAGTAATTCATTGCTTATTTAATCAATTGCACTTAATATCTATGTTATTGATTCTGGAGCAGAGGCAAGTCCACTGTGAACCCCAAACTCTGGCCAGCCAGACATTAGGGGCTCCCAGACTTGGGCTCCACACCTGGGGCCTTGTCACCAGCAGCTTTGGGAGCTGGGACTGGAGAACACGAGTCTTCAGAAGCCTTTCTTCATGCAAGATTTCTTACTCAGTAGTACTGGAGTTTTGTTCATTTGGCTTCAAATACAAATTGTTTTTTCCTAATACAAGTACGTGGTAGCGACAAGCCCACACAATTGCTTTCGTACTTGCATGCAGGCCTCTGTGTGACCAGGCACACAGACTACATGTGCTCCATCCTTTCTCTGACTCCTCTGCACCAGGGGCCTTTCTCAAAAACCCCACTACATTACTGGAAACTTTGCTGGTTTCGCCTATGTGCTTGTTCCTAAGGCATGCAAAACAACAACATGAAATTCAGAAAGCATTTACAACCTAGGCAGCTGAGGCGCTGAAGTCCTAACAGACATCACCTAAATACTGGTGCCTGGGACCTCCCCTTGTCCACACTAGTTCTGGAGGTCAGCATGGGACATACCTGCTTGGGGGCACGAATTTCCTGAAGTGTGTGGCCGAAATCCAGACCTTCCCTGGTAAGGCTGGGGGGAGGGTTAGGTGCTGGAGACTGAACCCCATTCAATGACACCCCAAAAATGATCAGGACCTAAAACTGAGCAGTTGCAGGATGCTCCCCTCAGCAGTGAGGCAAAGCATCACCAGGGAGCCTTCAGCAGCAGGTTTGCTCTGGCCCCTGAATTAGGCAAACGGGAGTGATACTATAAGGGGACTCAAAACCAATCCTGAGGGGACTGCTTGTGTCAGCTCAAAGCCACACGCTTCTGGAAAGCAGGACGCCTTCCAGTTTAGTCTGTAAGGACAAGCCCCTCATTTCAGAACAGCTACTGATCTCAGCCCCAGCTGACTCTGGGTTGGGCTGGGGCAGAGCTTGTGCTGTCCCCCCAGGACTGGCCCAGGGCCAGCAGGGCCAAGTCCCTCAATGGGAGGAGCCTGACCAGGAAGGCAGGCACTGGGATAAGGCTCTTCTGGGGCACTGTCTTGAGGCCTGAGGTCTGTGGTGGCCTGGCCCTCCCCAAGGGTGGCTCCAATTTGGGTAGCTAGGGTTCCTTCTGCATCCTAGCAGCTCCTCTGTGCACTCCAAATGCTTCCCCACACGCACACAGTGCTTCAACCACCCAAAGGAGATACTGCGAGAGACCTGGAGGTCCTGGACTGCCAGCCACACACACTGCAGTCCTTGTCTGCTCATGCTCCATGCGGACCCATCCCCCCAAATCAGTAGTGCAGGTGATGCTCTTCAGCGCTGCAAAGAGAATAAAGACAACATGCACTCAAGCCAGCACACAAAGGCCAAGGAGAACGAAGACAGCCCCTGCGGGAGGGGCCTCTGGAGGAACTGAGGCTAAGACACCCGTCCTGTCCATCTCGAGTGGACATTCTGCAGCCTTCCTCTAAGGCTTCTGCTCGAAGAGATCGTGGTATTCCTGCTGCTCCAGCTCCCGGTTATACTTTTCGATCTCCCGGTTGGCTTCTTCCACATAGTCATTCATGAACTGGTCCATGACTGGCATCTCATTAAGGAAGAGAGCCATGAGCCTGGAGGACAAAAAAGCCTGCCCTGGCCCAGAGGGATCTGTGGGCAGGTGAGGGCGGGGGCGGGGGGGGGACGGACTCTGAGGTAGTGCCTGCATAGAGGGTACCTGATGGGCTCTTTTATATACTGACAGCACCAAAGCTACAAAGAATGCGGCAGGGGTTGGCACAGGGTCCTTCATGAGGTCTAGACCTGCGCCCTTCAGCTTTCATTAGCACACAGCAGCACCCTATCTACCTTTTCACAGATTAACTACTGTAATCAGGCCCCGTCTCCAACATGTAAATTGTGACCTTGATGACCACAGAATTGAGGATGTCACCGTAGCTGCATTTAAACTACAACCCACAGGATTATATCAGCAAGCACTGAATGAAGGAGAAATTCAATTGACTTTAAGAGGCCAAAATGAAGTCCGCCTCTGATTTGCTGCTCCCAGAACCCAGCCTGCTCCAGGGCAGGGCTGCCTCGCCTCTAGCAGACACTCTCCTTACAGATAAGCTTCCAGACACCCCCAGGCCCAGATCCCAAGGATACGTGGGTGAAAATCAGTCTTGTCTCCAAAGAAATTGACAAACTGGGTGCCATTATAAAAGTAGCCTGCAGGCAGGGGGTCCAGGTGGCGTTTAACCTACAGGGAAAAAAGAGTCCTGTTAGAATTATCTGACCACTTTCTATCATTCACTCATTCATTAAAAACAAAAACAAACCTATTATCCTTGCAAGATAGCCCACTCCATGGAGGCTGTGTGTCAGGGAGTTAACGCCTCCCCACAGCAGCTCTCAGGCAATGACTGATGGAGGTCTCCAGGCTCGTGGGGAGGCACTCTGGGTGCCCCTGGTGAGAAGAAACTGGTTGTCCACAGTGGTCCTGGTTCGATAACATACCCGTTGTTGGCTGTCTCCCCTTCCTTCTCTCTGTTACTTTCCCATTTCCATACTCGTGTCTCCTAGATCATTTCCAAAATAAACTACCTGCACTAGACCTTGTTGAAGGTTTGTTTTCTGAGGTGCCCACGGTGTCCTGCCCAGGAGCACCCAGGGTTGCCCAGGTCCTGTAGGGCCTGGATATGAAGGGCTCTCCTCACGTCCAAAGCAGGGGCTCCTGGAGTCCCAGAGCACTCTCTGCCCACCTGCACATTACGGGACTGGTGATGTGGCTCATGTTGGGGCCTGTGTTCCTTTTAGTCTTTGCCTCCAAACCTGTCAGGAAAAGTCTCCTGTGGAGGTAGGAACTGGGGCAGAGGCTGGGAGTCAGCCTGGAGGCCAAGAGGGCTCATCAAGGGGCCTCTTGTCCTGGCCTCAGATTCACACATTAGGAGAGAACAACTTCAGTTGTTTGAACAGCGTGACAAAGCAGGGCTTCAGCTGCTCCTAGATCTCATGCCCAGGTGACGCCAGAAAATCCCAAAGGATGAAGCTACACAAGCTTGGAAGGACAGCCTTGGGATATGGACGAGCCTTAAGCCCCTAGGGCAGGGTACTCACATGGATGTTCCGGATCTCCTGCTGGGTCAGCATTCCCCTGGTCTTCAGGGCTTTCCTCTGAGGCTTCTGTGCAGAGATGGAGGGAGGGGTCAGGTCCCAACAGAGCTGATGGAGTACCTAGGCAGGTGAGGGCTCAAGGGGCCAGTTATATGACTAAGACCCAAGCACTGGCATGACCTGGACACAATATCCTGCTTGTCTGCCCCTCGAGAAGACCACTCCCGAGCTCTGTGTGCCGGGGGACAGTGGCAGAGGAGAGACCAGTGCTTCTGCAAATAGGCATGTTCCTGCCTCTGCAGATTCTCATCCCTAAGGCCCACCAGTGCCAGACATGCAGACAAAGGGATGAGGTCCCATAGTCAAGCATCATCAAGTTTATCCAGGTAGGTCTGAGAAAGACACAGCCTACAGGCAGCCATTCCTCAGTATAAAAGACAGGTTTCCACTGAGCATCTACAAAGGCCCCAAGCCCCAGTCAACTCTTTTTCCAGAGTTCTAGGATGAGCTAAACCCCCAAGGCTGTGCTAAGAGGCTTAGCACCGAAAGCTTGCAGTGTATTGAAGGATTTTAACTCCATAACTCCTGTGTGTGTGTGTGTGTGTGTGTGTGTGTGTGTGTCTGGGCTAAAGGTGCTTGTGTGCATTTACAGGAAGCCTCCCCTTCCCCGGCACCTGTCTCCAGGGCCCCGGGCTCACTGCTATCCATACTTGGAGTCTTGATTTGCAAAAGGCTCTTCCCATATCTTTGTTGTTAATTCCTTTCTAGCGGGAAAGCCCAAGAATAGGAGATTCTGGGCTCAGAACACAGGAGAGTTTTGAATAAGGTTCAGCTAAGAAATGACATTTTGAGTTTGGAACATCAGTTTGACCCAGGGTCCACATGGAACAAGTAGGTTTCACCCAGGCCCTACGAGGCCACCTAGTAACCCCAGTCTGCTTGTGGAAGTAGAATTGGAAATGTCTGTGAAAACAAGTCTGCCCTGAGTTTGTCTGAGTGGCTGCCTCCCACTCTCTAAGTGTCCCTGAAAGTGCTGGCTGAGCTGAGCGGTGGGGAGTGGGGAGGCACCAGGGAGACTGTGGGGGGCCTTTGCCTCAAGGCCAGCAGCAGCTCTGAGGTGTGCTAGCCACATCTGTGCCAAGTCTGTCTGAGCTTCAAAAACTACCTGCTTAGCAGACTGCCGTAGCCAGTCCTTGACGCTTTCTTCCTTCAGGGAGCAGCCGATGAACACGAGGTAACACTCCTGTTGCCCGCTGCTGTCTTGAGGTGTGCCTCGGGAGTTGGGTGGTGGCGTCGGTCCCTCCAATACAGGCACGATGCTCAAGGAATTGGCCAAAGTGTTGTGGCAGACCTCCATGGTCTTCTCAGAGTCTGCAAGAACACATGTCAGTCCCCGAGACAATGCCCCAAAAGAATAAGGCTACACAAGACTGACACAGGGTCTATGGTTGGACAGACTCATGAGACATGTACAGGAGGGAGAACGGACATAATTGGTGGCAAGTTAGAAAGGATGAAGTAAGAGAGGGCGGAGTAGGTTGGTTGATCAAGTGATCAGGTGGATATAACCTAGAAGGGGACTATAAGAGAAAGGCCCCCTTCTGGAGGGGTGGGTCTCAACAGAGGCCTGAGGGGCCAAGGGAGGAGGGCGTGTCCACAGTACAAGTGCTGTAGAAAGGTCACCGGGATGGGAATAGAAAAGAGGGGACAAGGTTTACAGGCTGAGAAGCTGGGCTATGACTGACTGGAGACATGAGAAAAGATAAAGGTACCTCTAAAAGGCAGGATGAGAAAAGGATCCAGAACAAGAGAGGTTAACCTTGAACAAGCAAGGGGTCAAGAGTAGGTGTAAATAAAGAAAAGGAGCTGATGATGGGGGAGAGGGAAGACAAAGGCACTAAGACCCCTGAAGCAGGTGGGGGGTTTTCTGTTGGCGCCTGAGGGAAGTGGGCTTGAGCAAGGGGCTTGAAGAGAGGGCCAAAGTTTCAAATTCAGTAATATAATTTAGGCCAATGGTACAGGTTAAAGACCATGAAAGATTCCTTTTTAAAGGTTACGTTGTCTAATTCTTTCATCTGAAGACCCAGATGGTTCCATGCTTACAACTCTCAATGGCTCCCTGTAGCAGACACTGATGGCTGCCTGTCTAGCAGCCCTCTCTTCCTCCAATACCAATTCCCCATGGGTCCTGGATCCTGGAAGGCATAGCAACTGAATTCCGGTCAAGGGGAGAAGTCTGCTGAAGAATTGGGAGGAGGCACTTCAGCAAGGGTGTCTGCACTGATAAAGATACCACAGGAAGAGCCAGCCTCTCCATCAGCTGGATGTTGTGTCTGGATTTGACACCTAGACCTACAGCACTACTTGGCAACCATGAGGGGTGGGTACCTGAGGACAAACTGACATCAAGAATGGAAGAACACAGAGACACACATTAGCTGGGTCCTCAGTGGCTTTGCTAAGCTGCCCAACCTCTTGCTTCTTGGTATGTAGCTAACACCTGCTAGTTGATTTGGGGTTTTCTGTTGTAAGAGCCAAAGACAACCTAACAGACACAATCCCTGCCTCCTGCTAAGCCCCAGCCACAGTAAGCCCTTTCTGGTTCTTGAAGTGTGCCTTTTTGCCTCAGGTCCATAGCACATGCTGTGCCTTTTCTCTGGAACAGTCTCCCCTTCCTCAGTGCTGAGTTGAGCAACTCCTTCTTGTTTTGAGGCCTTCTCTGACCCCAGCCCAGACAGACAGACTTCAGGTCTGGAAGGCTCCAGAGGTCTAAGGCTGATAAATAGGCCTACTGAACAGAAGGGAGAAGGCAAGTGACTTTGACAGACATGGATCAGAAGCTGGAGATCTCAGTGTTGGGATAGCTCTAGAAAGGTGATAGGTCTAGAAAGAAACCATGGATGATGGTTTGAGTCTCTGGAACAAGGAAGTCCAGGAGCTGTGAGGAGAGGCCCTGGGCAGGCCATCCAGGGGAAGGAGGACAGATCCTCCACTGTGGAGCAGAAGGACCTGAAGGAAGGTGGGCCCCTGGCAGAGAGGGGTGATTGAAAGAGCCCAATGGTGTAAGGCCCAGAGGGGAGGGTTTTGGAGAGAGTCTGCAGAGCACCAATGGAGGCTATGAACTCCATAGTGCAGGGCTCCCAAATCCAACCCCCCAGTTACCTGAAAACTTCACTTTGCCCAGGATGTGGTAGATGTTTCCAGAGAAAGGACTTGGCTTGATGGAAGACTGAATTGCTGGTGGAGGAAGAGGACAGGATTGTTACCCACCTGGGGGCAGAGGTCAAGTTCAGAGTGGCAGCGCTGGGAGGGTTAGGGACTAGGAAGGGATCTTACTCTAGGGTCCTGGGTTCATGGGTTCTATTCCCACCCATTCCTCCCCAGTGGCTCCAGAGGTGGGGGATTCCTGCATTCTCAAATCCCTCTGCCTGTTTTCAGACCCAAATGGAGAGGAGAAGAGACAGCATTCAGAAAACTAAAATGGTGCCAGGAAACAGAGACAACTCTTGTTGTTCTTTTACTGGGCCTGGGACCTGTCCCGGCCAGGGCTTACCTTTACATTTGGCTATAAAGCGAGTCCTCTCCAAGGGACGACCAAACCATACGCAGATCTGAACCATTAATGGAAAGACTGATCCAGCATCAAATTTACCTTCATACCTTAAAAGGTTTAAAAATTGTAAGTACAACAGTATTATATAATACTTTGGAATGAACTATATATTATTTATCCTGTAATATTTGCATTCTCTCTTACTTGTACACAATTTTGTGTATAATACATTTGTTTAAATGTATATATGTTTCTTTCACCTTGAGGTTGGGAAGAATGGTTTACCTCTTTAGACTAGTAGTTTCTTGATGTCAAATACCCCTTTGACCTTTGAAGCCTGCAGTGTCCCACCTGAGACCAGGGGGTCCTTCCTGGTACCCTTAGAGCTCTTCCTCAGGATCCCCACCCACTCTTTCAAGGGCTCCAACTATGCTCCACCATTGCTGAGGGTAGTTTAACAGACTGTATATTTGGTGTGTACACTCTCTCCAGAAGGAACTAAAGGGCTGAGGCAGCTCTGCACTATTTTCTCAGTTTTGAGTACAGAAGACATAATGTTGCCACAGACTCATTCAGAACATGGCCATATTCAGAGCATTTAAAAAATTTAACCTTTCAATATGGAAAACTTCAAACACATGCAAAGGTAGAAGGGTAGTATAATAAACTCCCATCAACTAGCTTACAAAGTGATGGACCTGTCCTTTCTCCTTTTGTATTAGTTCCTTCAGATGAATCCCCATGATTGGAATCAGTCCAGAAGAGGGTGTAACCATCTCATGGGTAATAATTTACACTGTCCCTGGCAGTAGGTGAGCATTCCAGTTTCACAACAATTCCCTAGCAATGGTTACTATAGATATTTTTGTTTAAATGTAATAGTATCAATCAAAATAATAGTGAAGCATCATATTACATTTTGAATATTACTGACATGGAATTGCTATCATCGTTGCCATCTGTATTTGATCCTCAGTGAATTGTCCACATCTATATGGACTGGGCTATTTTTCTTAACTGACCAAACAAGTTTCTCAAATATTATATTAACCTTTTGTCACATTTGAAGCAATCATTTTCCTCCAGTCTACTGTATTTTCATCTTTTTAAAAAATATGATTTTATCCATTTCAGAGAGAGGAAGGGAGAGGGAGAGACAGAGAAACATCAGTGATAGGAAAGAATCCTTGATTAGCTGCCTCCTGCACTTGCCCTATTTGGGATCAAGCCCAAAACCTGGTTATCAAACTGTGATCTCCTAGTTCATAGGTTGATGAGCCATACCCGCTGGGCTGTATTTTCTTATTAGTTTCCTTAGTTTTAAAATAGCAACTGCAGTTTTGAATTTTATATTGTTGAAAGTATCTTACTCTTTGTGATTTCTTAAAGTTGGGTAGTAGCATAACATTTTTGCAATACTGCCATGGTCTTTTTTCTCTCCCCCAACCCAGACAGCCATTTGGAGACCATGAGTTACTGGGGCTTCTGTGCTCAGAGCCCGAATCCTTTGGAGAATTTGGAGGGGCTAAAGGAAAAGGGAAAGGTTTCCTCCCAGGCTAGAAACACGCCCTTCAACCAGAGAGGTGGGGGCGGGGCCGATGAGAACAGAGGCCTGAAAGGGGAATGGCTAAGAATCTTCACAGCACAGAATGAGCACATCCTGGAGCTGAAGTCCATTCACTAGGAGGTAATGGCCCTGACCCAAGGAGGGAGGGGAGTAATATCTAGGGATGAGTAGGAGTCTGATGGCTGCCATCTTGTTAAAAGACTAAATTATCTGAATCCAAGGAAAGAATTCAGAAAGGAGAGCCTGAAGGGTGATTAAAAAAAAAAAATCTTCCTTGTTGAAAGTATTACATATATTCCCTTTTCCGCCCCATTGATCCCCTCCAGCCCCCTCCCTCCCCACCCTATTGTCTATGGTCCATGGATTATGCATATACGCATACAAGTTATTTGGTTGATCACCTCCTACCCACCCACCCTCCCTCACCTTCCCTGGATTTTAAGGCCCCTCCATCTCTGATTATCTACAATCATTGATTTTCCTGATCAAGGGAAGGTTTCAGACTCCAGACTCACAGAACCTTCTAATGAGGTCCTCATACCCAGCTCTTTCCTGGATCAGTCTGCCTCCAGGAAAGTGTATCCGGAGCTCAGTTCACGTGCCCAGAATGAGTCAGCATGGACTGGAAGAGGGTGATTCCCTGGGCACCAGGTGCAGAAAGAAGAAGTCTCAGGCCCAGGCCCATAGGTGTGGGCAGCAAAAGGGCCCGCATCTGCAGCCACCAGAGGAGGGTTTCACCTCAGAAGCTCCATCTCTTTCTTTGTATCTAAGATATAACTGCCTTGTTCAGGAAAAAGGGATGACCCACTTACCTATGTATAAGTATGATGTGATTCAAATCAAGTATGGTATGACTGAAAGACTAAATTTTTATTCATTTACATTTTATTAAATAGTCAAGTGTGGCTAGTGGTTACCATACTTAGAACAATGTGTGTAAGTGCTCGTGAGCTGCTGGTATTAGTATGATTACAATGCACCTTGTAGTCTCTTTCCTTCTCTTCTCCCCTCTGGAGGAGAAGGTCACAGGCTGGGAGGCTGCCAGGAGAGAAGAAACATCTTCTGGGCCCCATCGGCAGGGAACTTAGCTGTCAGGAAGGAACCCTAGAGGACTGACTATTCTCAGGAGTGACTCTCTCACCTGGGAAGGTTACAACTCCTTGGTTCTGTGTCAGCCACCTCACCCTCACTAGAGGCCAGAGGAAACACAGGACACTATTGTGCCTGGTGCCCACAGGATGTCTCCTTAAGTCTCAACATGCAGTAAGGCTCCCAATTTGGAGCCCAAGATGGGGAGCACTGGGCTCCTGGAAAAGTCAGCTGCTGCTGGGACATGGTAGGTCCTTCCAGCTGCCATGGACACCCTCGTATAGCACACCTGGTATTCTCTCTCTCTTTTGCTGTTAATAAATAAATCATTGGATTTACAAATAAATCTCAGCTACTTTTCAATGATGATACTTGCCAGCCAGGGTACATTAAGTATCGAGATCGTAGCATCTGAGGACTTGAAAAACTGTTTTCTGACAGAATCAGCTCAATGTCTTCATTCCTTTGAAAACATACAGAAAAAAACCCCCAGATTAATTAGGACTATCAATCTTAACCTGCACATTTGCTTTCTTTCTCCACCGTCCCCCCCCCCCACATAAGCAACAAATGCATGCATTTTTTCTGTTATTTCACCCTTAAGTATTTCAGTATGCATCGCCTAAGGACAAGGACATTATCTTACAGAACCACAATATGATTATCACGCCCGAGGAATTTAATACTGTGGACCAGCAGCACTGGTATCACCTGGGAGCTCATTAGAAATGCAGAATCTCGGCCCCGGTGAGGTAGGGACGGCCCCGGTGAGGTTGAAAAAGCCCCGGGGTGGGGGAGACAACCCCGGTGAGGGTGTAAAAAACCCCCCGGGGGAGGGACAGCCCCCCGGGGGGGTTAAAAACCCCCCCGGGAGATGGGGACCCCCCCCCGGGGGGGGTTAAAACCCCCCCCCTGTGTGGAGGAAACCCCCCCCGGGGAGGTAAAAAACGCCCCC